GAATGAGAGTTGAAATGACATTGAGATGATAAATATGATAGCTTCCCCAATAACATACCCTAAAAGTGAGAATAAAGATCGAGTAGAGGAAGTATTGGATGAGGGAGTAGTTGAAAAAGAGAACAATATTAAAAAAATTAGAGGGAGAAAAATGAGTAAAAAGGAGAAGACACGGGGAGACGATGCAAACTTGATAAACCAATTGATAGAAGTTCACCTTAAAGAAGAACCAAGAAACAAATTCTCAACGAACCAATTCTCAAAACCCCCTACTATGTGAAGCCATTTTATCCTATGTTGAAGAAAAAGCCGAAGAAATAAAAGGAAGATGGGCAGCTTAAGAAGTTCATGGAGAGAAATTACTTGTTTACGAAAAATTTGTGAAAAATTTATTTACTAGAAAGCATAAGCCAATCTATGATGAGAATATAGCTTTGACATAAGAGTATAGTGCAATCGTCCAAACTCAATTTCCAGCAAATCTTAAAGGTCTAAGACGATTTACCTTTCCTTGCACCATTGCCAAGCTAAAGATAGAGTAGTCACTTTGTGATTTAGGGGAAAGCATTAACTTGCCTCTTTCTATGTTGAAGAAACTTGATTATGGTGAAGTTAAGCCAACTCAGATGACCCACCTATTGGAAGATCGATCCATTGATTATTTGTGTGGAGTGCTTGAAAATATGTTGGTTAAAGTGTATGAATTGTTATTTCTAAGTGATTTTGTTATTCTAGACTTGGAGGAAGATGCAAAAATACCTCTGATTCTGGGAAGACATTTCTTAGCAATAGGTAGAGCTTTAACTGATTTGGAGTTAGGTGAATTAATATTGAGATTTCAAGATGAGAAGGTAACATTTAATGTGTTTGAAGAGATGTGTCATCATAGTAAAACTTCTCATGTTATAATGTTGATCTAGTTGAAGAATTGTATCTAGTTGAGACACCTTTATTTCTTATTGAGTATGTTAGGGTGAATTCTATTGAAACAATGGAGAAAATACAAGATAAAGTATTCAAGGAATATATGCATGCCATATCAACAAATGAGGCTTTGAGAGTTCCTGAAGCAAGTGTCCTAGTGTCAACAAAAGCTCAAAATTCTAGTGAAAGAGTCTCCTCCACATTGAAAGCATGTCCTCTTGAGAAAAAAACCAATACCACATGATCTAATTCTTAATAATTTATATGGTTTGAAGAAAGAAAAGCTTAAAAGATTGTTAAGAAAGAATGAGGGAGCACATAGACTGATTTAATGTATAAGATCAAGCTTGATTTCAAACTAATTGGATACACTGATACAAATTTGGAGGAAACACATGATTAGAGAATCAAACGTTCAAGATAAGAACCTTAAATAAGCGTTGTGTGGGAGGCAACTCAATGATAGGTGGCATTCATTTTTCTTTCGTTTTGCTTTTTTGCTTTCCCGTTTTGTGAATCATACTGCTGCTTTATTTAATGAATGAATTTGTTTATGCTATTTTCTTTAGTTCTTAGTATGATGCCTTATCAATGAAAATAATAATAAAATACACAAGAAAATAAAAACAAAATAAAATATAAAGAAGAGTTGTTACAGAAGTTTCAAATGTGGATTGACAAAGTATGAAAAGGAGTAATATTCAACAATCTTATACTCATTCACTAGATACCTCAGAAATAAAGGTTTGAGTCAAATAATTCCACTAATTACTTTCTTTCTTGTAATGAGTGTCCATATAATTGTCATCTAATTTGATTTGCTTTGCTTATGAATTATTATTTGTCTATCTGATTACATGTTGGGGCAAGTTAATTGTTTTAACTTAGAACCTTTATTAGATGAACTTTAAAATATATTTTTTTTGTTAAACTCTTTGGACCTAAGCTATTTATTTTGGTGACTTAGCCACATATTTAGTCGATTGACTCAAAAGAGAAATATTGCCACCCTCTCCTTGGAGTTAGGTGGACGATTATTTTTTCTAATTCATGAAAAAAAACTAAATTTGTAGTTGCTTCTGAAATGAGCAATAATTTAAGTTTGGGGTTAGAGTACTAGAATCTTAGAATGAAAAAAGTGATGATGAAAAATGGAAGGAAAAAAAAGAGTATGAATAGAAGCTAGAAAAATCTTTATCTTTTTCAAATTTAAAGCTTCTGGAAAAAAAGAAGAGAAAAAATGCTAAAAATAAAATAGATTCGAAAATCTAGTATCCAATCGGTTAAAACCAAAAAAAAAAATATATGTAAAGTTGGTGTGAAAATATGAAGGTAGCAGGTACTTAACTTCAAGGAATTAAGCATATTGGTCAAATATATTCCACCCTTACATAAGTCATGTTACAACCTTTGAAAGACCTCAAAAACATGTTTTTGAATAGAAAGGAACGATTTTTTTAGAAAATTTGAAAATTCATATATTTGATATCATTTATATGTGAATGAGTGTTTACCATGTTGTTTCAAATAAGAGTGAACAATGAGATTGAGACAAGGTTAAGTGTATAAAAAGTTGAAGAAAATCTATTTGGATTATGCCATATTGAAGCAAGAAACAAAAGTGACAATTCAACAAAGATTGGTCCCTGTCATTGGTTTGGTGAGTACAAAATTTCCAGGAGGGTCACAGTTATGAATGAGTTTATTGGGGACAAGTAATAATACAAGTTTGGGATTGTGAGACACCCCTCTGTCATATAATTTGATTAAACATTTCCATGTATTTTTGATGATTATTAGTAAATTATGTTTGAGTTTTATGAAGAAATAGGAAGAAAATGAAGAAATGAAGAAACAAGGCAAAAATATGAAAATGTAAGTATAGAGTGCAAACTAAAAAGGGGAGGTGAATTAGGTTTTAAGAATATTTCTATTTACTTTGCAGATGTTCTATTTCTTTTATTTTTTTGGAAGAATAATGATGAACTTATGAATAATAGTGTAGAAAATAAAAGTGTTGAAAGAATAAATGACACTGAGATGTAAACTAGTCCCTCTTATCAAACAAGGGTATGTCTAGTCCCTTGACACATCGTGAAGGATTTCACTTTAAATCTGTGTATTGTCTCACACCAAGACTCTCATACAATCTTCTAATAGAGACACACCAAACTTATAGTGGACGTTAAATCAATCAAATTCAAAAGACGTTTTTCCAACAAACAAGAACACCACTTCCTATTTGTGAACATCTGTAGAAATTACACACACTTTCTTTATTAACTATATCCCCTGACACTTGGTGAATAATCTTATAACAAAATGATAAATTGAGTACAAACAATTTTGAATGCTAAACTCTAATCTTCTCTTTCCAACTAACGAGGCCTGGTGATCCCTAATAAAATCACGGGTGATAAGAAAAGAGTATGCATAGGTCACCGAGTAAGTACCATCTTTAGAATGGCACCACCACTATTTATCATTCTGGGAGGAAAGAATAAAGTCCCTCATAACTAAGATAAGATCAGCCATCAACACATACTGACACTTAGAAAGATGAGTTTTACTCCACCTAAAATCCCAAACCCAGTTATGCCCATCTCATCTACCAACCTCCCCTACAAAATAATCCTTCTGCATGAAGATAGAGAAAAATCGAGGGAACCTAACTCTCAGAGGTATATCCCCCACCCAAAAATCACTCCAAAACTTAGTGAGGAGACCCAATCTAACTTTTCTGTCAATATTATCCTGAAATCATTCTGATATGGGTCCTCCCTTTTAGCCCCTAGAAGAGACAACCCTCTCCACGAAGGAGATGAACAACAAATACTTATAGCTCTACCTCTCAACACGAAAGAAGTCGGAATAACTATGTATCTAGCAGAGAGGATATCCCGTCATAAATCTGAATCACCCAAGATTAAGCATCACCTCCACTTACTCAATATAGTTAGATTAACCTATCAGAGGTCACAAACACCTAAACCTTCAAATCTCTTGAGGTTACAAACATTACACCACTTAACCTAAGCGATCTTAGAACTCCCTCTAACTCTATCTTACAAAAACCTTCTTTGAAATTTTCACAATCTTCTTTCAAACCTTAATAGACATCTTTAAGAAAGACAAGAAGAAGATAGAAATAGCATTAAGGATAGAATTGAGAAGAACCACCGACCCTCCCAAAGACACGTACCTATGCCTTCAAAAGAGTTAAACTGTCTAGATATAAGGCTAACTAAAGGTTTCCATGTAACAAACGGGGGTTCGCCCCTACTGATAGACCCGAATATTTGAACAGGAGAGGCTCTTGATGATAGTGGAGAAAATCACAAACTAGTTCAAGAAAAACAAGATTAGAGTTTATCCCAATGAGACTCATATTTGCATTAGTGTCAATTCCTTTGCATATATTTAACTATCATCGTATTAATCAACCCATCACCAACTACAAGTGTTACCTTTTGAAACCATGCATCTACATTGTCTATTTTTTGTTCATTCCCTCAAAATAAAAAGATTTTTAGGTTTAACAAAAAGCTGCTTTTCCACATGTCCACAAAATCCTTTTTATTTTGCATGAGAGAAAATCGAGATTGATGAATGAAGGACAACCATCACGCAATTAATAGACTTTAAAGATATATCAGAATGGGACCATATAATATCAATACAACAAGTTTTCTGTTTTACAGTTTCCATACACATTGAGCATTAACCTTATCACTAAAAAAATTGAAATAACAAAAAAAATTTAGACAGAAAATAATAAAATTCATCTTTAATGACATTGTGCAAACACTAGGATAGAATAATCTTGGTATATAATTCTAGGACACACATCAAGTACCCTTAGGATTTATACCAAAAAGTATTGCATCTCTATCATTCTATTCTATCACATGGTGCAAAGCAACCAAAGATCCTACGTACAACACTAGGTACTCTTGGTATATAGATGATAACTTTCAAGCATGGTTAATTAATATCCTAAAGTATTGTAGGTTAATAATGATCACATAGAATTTTGAGTTTTGATTGAAGAACATGGAAAGATATAAAAATACTAATTAATCTTCTTTGATCCTTGTTGTGAGTGGAAAGAGATCAAGAGTCTTGAGAGGTTTGGTGCAACATGAAGGTGGTTCATGATGATTAACATTATCCATAAGGTGGCTCCAACCATAGTTGTTGAATGCAATCTCTTTCTTCTCCATCAAATTTTGTTGGTTGTTATAGCCATTCCATTTGCTATTGATTGGCCCTTCTGATGTGTTTGCAGCATATGATCCCTAAATACATGTCAAATAGAGAAAATACATATCAAATGTGTAATGGCCAAGTGGCATTGTGTGCATTCATATCACTTATTTTAGACCATAGTTTGTAGACCACAACCCAAGATGATAATTTAAGTCATGATTTTAAATTGCGGTCGCAGTTGCAGTTAAACTTCAAACATTTTTTCGAGCCAATGTCACCGAAATTGCATACCTCAAAACTTTTGAAATTTGAAATTATAATTTATAAACTACTAAGCATAAGTATAGACACCAGAAATACAACACCGACATTGGCAAACATTTTTCAGAAGTGTCATGCTATCGAGTTTATAAGTCAAGAAATGCCATGCATCCAAGGGTTAAATATATAGAAGAATTATGAAAAGAATTATCAAAAGAAAGAAGAAAAAGGACATATATAAGGAAACATCACAAATCATTCTATACATGCATGTATGAAAAAGAAGATTACCTCAAAAAGCAAGCTAGGTGAGTTAAAAAAGGAAAAGTCTTGAGTAGAAGATCCAAAAGGGTAACCAAAAGTACCATCAACAAAATGATTATTGATCATGATATTATCATGATTGAGTTGACAATGATGAAGTTGAAGTTGTTGTTGATGTGGCTGCTGTTGATGCTGTTGCTGTTGCTGCTGTAGCTGCAGTTGTTTGTTGAGTTTCCTTCTAAGTTTCTGTCTATCCCTAGCCTTATGATTCTGAAACCAATAGAAAACATTTTTTCCTTCTATCCTACCATAGAAAGAAAGGTGAGTAGTAATTTGCTGAATTTGAGAAGCACTAGGAGTTCTAATTCCACTTCTATACAGTTCTTCCAAGATCATAAGCTGTTCAGTTGTAGGGCTCCATCTTGATGAACCAGGTGGAGACATTATTGATGTTTTCTCACTTTGGAAACTAGTTTTTTGTGACAAGAAGAGAGGGTGAAATGATGTATAAATAGAGGGACAGAGAGAAAGAAACAGTAAAGTAATGTAAAAGGATGAGACAAAAAGGAAAGAGAGATTACAAACTTATACAAAGGTTTGTGGTGAATTTAGATAGGTAAAAAAAAAAAGTACTATGTTATCATATGGTGATGTTCCTTTTAGAGGAGCATTTTCACACAGTTCATTTTCAGAGAGAAAGAAAAAGATGAATCAAGATAACTGATTGTGGTTGTGTGAGTTATCATCACATTATTATTACTTCACTTTAGTTAAGAACCAGTAATTATTGTCACAGAAGATTGTATCTGTTGCTATTTCTCTAAACAGACCTATATATGAAAATTGAAAAAATAGGTTTCAAATTAAATTATCATACCTTATCTCCATAAATATTATTATAGGATTGTGTGTGCCAAAGTTTTATATTCATTCATGTGTATAGTATATAGTACTAAACTATTTTGAATTAAAGAATGATAGTATGCAGGCATATTCCTTGTCACATTTAATTCATATGTCTCCTTTTCTCCATCTCTTCTTCTCTCTCAAAAAATATTTATATTCAAATTAATCATGTAAATGTTGTTTAATTTTTAAAGTTTTTAAGCCTATGTTTGGGATTTGTTCAAAACTACGTCTACACCGTGCTTTTGATAGAAGCGGTGATTTGTTGCTTCAGAAAATCACGTTACATATATCTTTAAACGCACCTTAACGACACAATTGACTGAAGAATCAAACATAGACTTAATCATCCTAATCTTTAAATGTACTAAGTTTTGTCTGATTTTTTTAATGACAAATTATTAGTAGTAGGAGTGGTAAGAGACCGAGCTAAAATTTTCAACTACCACTCTACATTTTGTCCCGCTTTATTTTTTTTTTCAAATTTTGACATGCGCGGATTTAAATCGGACAAATTTATATTTTTATTACTTTTAGTTTTTATGGGTGACAAGACCCACCTCACTCCACTTCATTTGTTGGTGGCTCGTGAAAAGTTTTTTTGCTTTTTCTTTTATTAACTTCGTCCTATTTTTTAGTGAGATGTGCCTAAATGGAGTAGGTTTGACTTTTTATCACATTTTATCTTAATGGGTGCAGTGATGAGACTCGTCGGACTCATCTCGCTCCGTTTTATTTGTTGGCAGCTCGTGCTAGAGTTTTCGACCATCTTTTACTATAGTAGTCCCATTTTTAGAGAGACGCCCCTAAATACACAGGTTTGACTTTTTATCACATTTAGTTTTAATGGGTAACGAGGCCGACCGAATCCATCTCGCTTCATTTTTTGGTCGTACCAAAATTTTCAGCCCTCGTTTTTATTATGTCCCAAACATAGACTTAATCATCCTAATCTTTAAATGTACTAAGTTTTGTCTGATTTTTTTAATGACAAATTATTAGTAGTAGGAGCGGTAAGAGGCCGAGCTAAAATTTTCAACTACCACTCTACATTTTGTCCCGCTTTATTTTATTTTTTTCAAATTTTGACATGCACGGATTTAAACCGGACAAGTTCAGATTTTTATTACTTTTAGTTTTTATGGGTGACAAGACTCACTTCACTCCACTTCATTTGTTGGTGGCTCGTGCCAAAGTTTTTTGCTTTTTCTTTTATTAACTTCGTCTCATTTTTTAGTGAGATGCGCCTAAATGGAGTAGGTTTGACTTTTTATCACATTTTATCTTAATGGGTCCAGTCGTGAGATTCGTCGGACTCATCTCGCTCCGTTTTATTTGTTGGCAGCTCGTGCTAGAGTTTTCGGCCATCTTTTACTATAGTAGTCCCATTTTTAGAGAGACGCCCCTAAATACACAGATTTGACTTTTTATCACATTTAGTTTTAACGGGTAACGAGGCCGGCCGAATCCATCTGGCTTCATTTTTTGGTCGTACAAAAATTTGCAGCCCTCATTTTACCATGTGAGTTCTATTTTTTGATGAGACACATCTAAACATCTAAACAGAACAAACATGCTCATTTATCATCGTCAATTATTAGTTAGTCGTATATTTTAGTAACAAATTAGGAAGCATATATTATAATGCATGACATATTATTTTTTGGACATAAAACATTGGGAAATTGTGAGAGACATTATTATTGGAAGAAGAAGTAGCAATAGTACAGAAACATATACATATTTCATAAGAGGACAGCGTTAGAGACAATGGTACCAAAGGGTGAGACTTGGCAAAATGGCAAGTCATTGACAGTCACACAAGTGGGGTCTCTGCTGGTTTTCATTTATGCATGCATGCTTAGTCCTTTTTATAATGCTGACATTTTTGAAAACGCAAGCATACAACAGTTAGAGTACATTAAATGCATCTAACAGAGTGTCCAATGCCTTGTCTTTTTTAGGGGACTTGTCATACTCTCTCAACATTCCCACTTTCATCTCAACCCTTCATTTTAGAATTCACTCACGTCATCATAAAACAACAACCATGTCAAGTGAAGTCAACCACATATATGTGATGTTTGTTTACGTATTTCGTTACTTGGAACAGTGTTTCTTGTTTTGTGAGGCTATGTAATGTCAAAGTTTTTGGTTTAAAAGTCGTAATAAATCTATGTGGGGGCATTACTTGAGATTGACTGTAGTTCTTATACAGTTTTATAAATATGAATAGTGCTTCAATAGAATGAATATTTTTTGATTAGGGGCCGACCTTACTAAAACAACCATTTTATTTGTACTTTTACCAATTTTTATTTTAACATGTTTCATTTTTAAGTAAAATTTGATTTTGTTTTGGAATTGTTTTAATAAAGGATGTTTATTATTGGAAGAAAGGGGGCAAGAAACTAACCCAATTAAAAATCAACAAAAGTATAAGCCAAGTCTATCTCTAAAGAAATCATTCTGAGCATAATCAGGGAGGGAGTTCCACCTAGTATCATGGTTGATAAAAATGTCTATATTTCTTAACCGAACAATCATGGGATATCTTGAATTTAAAATATCGAATAGTGTGGGGCAATCCTTTTATTTGATAAAAATAATTATTTAATAGTAAATTATATATATATATATATATATATATATATATATATATATATATATATATATATATATATATATATATATATATATATATATATATATAAAGACAAAACAAGAAACAAGTCGCCTAACAAAATATGTAAAGCATGAGAAGTATTCTAATAGAACAACAAAAGAAAAGTAAAGAGTACAATCAAACTAACACACCGATCAAACCAACTAAACCAAAGATTAACCCAAATCAAAAGAGAAATAGTTGAGCAAAACAAACCGAGGGAAGATAGAGAGAGCACCAACTAAATCGAAGAGGCACTCGACCAGACAATAAATTCTTATAAGCATAAGCATAGGAGTGGGTCTTGCTCCCAGTCCAAAAGAGATAGGTCATGATTCGCCTAAGCATATGAGTGGGTCCTGAACCCACTCCCAAGAAAGGAAAATGATCTAAGTCACCCAATGATTAATAGACAAGTTTTTCATGCAAAAAATAATGTTATTACAATACTCTAAATAGTCCAGACCATTGCATACCATATCAAAGCTAAGTCAAAGTTCAATCTCTTACCCATGCCTAATCCCCGGAACACACCAAATTCATCTAAAGTTAAGCACAAAATAAACACTGGCATGTCCACCGACTTAAAGACCATATATCAAATAAAGGAAGCTACATCATAGTGAATAAACAAGTGCATTATTGCTTCAGCCTGACCTAAACACATGACATAACCTACCTCAATGTTCCCTTGAAAAATATCTCGCATCCTAAGTGTAAGCTTAGTTGCTAACGTGTCCTGCAATAATAACCAAGAAAAAACAATCACTTTAGAAGGTGACCAACTATTTCAATTTCTAACCAACCTTTTTAAAACACTATTTAGCCTATTATCGACTCCAGTAACAGACACAACAAGGCAATCATAATTCAACCTTACCGAGAACATAACTAACTGGCCCGAAGCCCAAGCCCAAGTATCCTCATTACCCTGTTTAACCATCCCATCAATCAAACTAAGCAAGACCCACAACATCTTCCTCCTGAACCAACAACCTACGCGCCCACTTAAAATACCAAACCTAAACTTCATCTTCCTAGCCCCCATCAATCCTACCCCCGAGATCCTTCTGGTAATAAAATTCTAGGGACAATGTTGACATTAGTGAAAGCTCGAATGGTGAGAAGGGAGTCACTTTTAATGCAAAGGTTCCTTCAACCTCTTTATTTGCATACCATAAAGATCTGCTTGAAAGAAAAGGGTATTTATTAGCTTAACTGAAGAAGCACCTAAGATTGTGTCCCAAGAATAATGAAATATGTCTCAACACGTGGACAAACCAGAGTTACCTCTTGACGCTCCATTAGTATTTCATTTCACCCAATGAATAATATGACAACATTAATTGACTTGGATAATACGAGGTGCAAGAGGAGGCCTACAGTTCAGATCAAAAAAGTTTAGGATGGTGAGTTCTTTAATTACGAGACATGTTGCATTTGAATGAAGAAGATGCATTGTGGATCGAATGTTTTATGATAGTTATTTCTCGACCAACGTCTATCTTATCATGTTGAAATTTGACATAGTTTCTAATGTTCTAGGTTTTCTAAATTATGAGAATGGTGAAAGTCATAATGAGATTCTAGAGTTGAGATGTCCACTCTCAATCCTCTATGCCAAATAGATTCTCATAACTTGTTTGATAAATGTTCATACAAGTCAAGTTTTTCATCCAGTTCCTAAACCGCAGGGTGCATTTGCAGTGCAAGAATAAACAAAAACAAATTCCACCTCCTAATTGCAAAGAGAACATATTGAGACTACATGAATATGTCTTCTAATCAAGTTATCATCAATAGTAATTATATTATGCATAATTCTCCAAGTGATTAGGTACTTAGCTTGTGGAAAAAAATAATGTCAAATGGT